GGCGACGAGGTGAACTACGGATGTGTGCTTGCTGCCTCCTTGGTGAAATACAAGGCTTATGCCTTGCGGTGCAAGGCAACTTCTTCTTTCATTGGCGGCTTCCTCACTCCTCTATTCTTGCAAGCTGGTGTGCCCATACATGACTTCGCACATGTACCAGCCAGAGCTTTCATGGATGAGGCCTACATGAGGAATACCGACAGCTTGGGACGCACGCCAGCAGAAGGGTTCTACGCCTACCTCTTCATAGACGACGAAGATAAGAAGAGAGTGTGCATCCTGCCAAACAGAAACGAGACCGAGCTGCTTGGTGTTGGGAACATCGAATTCTTGCCCACGGAAGAGGAGTGCTTTGCTCCTCTAGGAGGACCACCTGCCTCGGCCATTGCTCCTCGTCAAAGGTCCGAGTCTCCAGCCACGGAAGATGAGATGCCCGAAGCCTACACACTTCCCAAGTTAGACTTTGAGCCAAGAACCAAAACAGAGAAGTTCCTAGCATCTGTTGTGGAGATGCAAAGGAAAATCAACAAGTAGCAAGGCAAAATGCCCAAGAAACTTGCCAAGAAGGTCAAGGCACTTCAAGGAGGCTCGCCTAAGAAGGATACAAGTGAAGAGGTTCACCAGCCCAAGAAGAGGAGGCTCTCAACCGGTGGAGTTGTCATCCGCAAGACACAAGGCAGCACCATTCAGCCGGCGCGCCTTTCTCTCCAAGAACCAGCCGACAAGGGTAAGACCATAGTCTCTAGCTCCTCTGGAACATCCTCAAGTTCCAGCCGAGACTCGACCAGAGGTAACAACCTTCTTCCATTGTACATAACCATTCATATTTGCTTCTTTTTGCTTTGTGTTTTGGTGCTCCTTCGAATGTGTTTGCCACCGGGACGGTGCCAAGCAAGTTTGGGGGAGTACATGTGTGGTTTGACATGTGTTTTGTGATCTTATTTTCCTTTAGCATCCTTGAGTCTTTAGATCATGAAAAATTGGTAAAAGTTTTAAAACTTTTTCAAAGATTCATGTAGTTGCATTCATCTTGTCAAAACATGTTAGGATTGAGTCTAGAATTTCTCTTAGCATCTAGGTTGTTTGCATTCGCATAAGGGGTTAAAGTTTCTTAAAAAGGTGTTTTATACTCATGAATTGTTTCAATGCCCTAGTTAGTAGTTCTCTAATGCTTTGCTTATGCTTTGAAAGTAAGTTCTTACCATGCTTGGATCACTTGCTATGATTTTCGTGACTTGAATTGAACTCTCATGATTTGAAACTTGTCCTAATAAGTGAAAACTTTAATCTGAAATTTTAATTATCATCCTTATGCATTTGAAAATGAACACATGGATTTTAAAATATTTAGGCTCTCTTCTTCATTTTTACCACTCTTTGTGAGCCTAAGTAGAACTCCCACCTTGACCCTTACCCTTCTTTGAAGCCAAATATTTCTTGTGTGACAACATTGTGAGGCCTTCTTTTCGGTTTTGAACATAGCATAAAGTGTTAGGTTTACGCGACATGATTTGATTCTCATATGATTGCTAGCTTTGCATTTTGAAGCTAGGTATAGGCTTAGGATAAGTTTGGAGGATCATTGGGGTTGTTTTCTTGTCTATTTGTTCTCGGTTTCAAAGAGTTTGGTGTTTGAAAGAAAGAAATGGGTTTTAAGTGAAAGATTGTGTTTAAAAACTATGTATATGCTCTAATAAATTTCAGGAGGTAGCTCTCTCAAATAAAAAGAAAAAAAAACAAAGAGCCTAAGTGCCAAATAAAAATAAAAATAAAAAAAAAGAAAAAAATAAATAAGAGAGCTACTAATAAGAAATAATTAAAGAGCAAAGTTATTTTCAAAACCTTTTCACTAGCCTAAAGAGTTTAAAAATGTTTTTGTTTCGAATTAGGGAATGCTAAGCTTTGAGAAGAAAAAGGGTAGATTCTAAGTGGTGAGTGAGGATGAAAGTTGATATATGAGAGGGGTTTAGGATCATTGTTAGTTTACATGGGTAGATGAGAATCTGATCATGTATGCATCAATTGCCTTCACCTTTAGCATTATACATAAAGTTCTTGCCATTTTTGAGAGTAACCCTTGTTTTAATTGTAAACTCTTTTCAAATGAGATCATTCAATGCTCATAACCTACACCCTTAGCCAAATGTGTTTTGCTTTAAAGTGCATAAGTTTGATTCATGGTTCGAATGTTAATGAATGTTAAAGGATGAGTTTCTTTGATTGTTAGGAATAGGAGAGTCATGATCTGAATTTCTTTGTGTGATGAGTATGGCTAAGTTCTTTGGAGTATGAGTGTGTGCCTAGCATTTTAGAACTGTTAACTAGGACATTGAGATTGATTCATTTGAAAGGCACCTTTACAAGAAGTTTAAACCCCCATTCGTTTTTCTTAAAATCTCTCTTCTTTACTTATTTTCTGTTGCTTGAGGGCAAGCAAGAAGTAAATTTGGGGGAGTTGATGTTACTGCATATTATATACATTTTGCATACACATTAGTTAACTTTTTATGCATTTACATCACATTTTAGGTTAGATTGCATCACTTAGAGTCCTAGAGCATTCTTGCACCATCATACGCATGTTCCTTGCATTTTGCATCACATTCAGGTTGTTTCTGGCTGCTTTGGAGTCGTGGATGTTTGTGGACGTGCTGAAGCTGTTGCAGCGGTTCGTGGAAGCTCGGATATTTGCTAAGGATCAGAGATCGAGGAACAGATCAAGCATGGCAGGTCGATCTAGGATGAGATCGACCAGAAGATCGAGAAGACCAGGCGATCCAAGGAAAATGATCGAGACGAAGATCGAGTGAAGCAATCGATCAAACGGTACGGACGTAAATGACGCCATGCAGAGCGAGAGCCGGATCGAGTACACCACTCGATCCAACCGAAGATCGATACCAGGATCGGATACAACACTCGATCCGCCAAAGATGATCGAGACCCAGATCGAGTTGAAGACATGATGTCCGAAGATGATCGAGAGAGCCGCTCGATCCCGGAGTCGATCTCTGTCCTTTCAACCGCTTTTGGCCGCTAGCGAGGGGGGGACCATCAGCTTGTTTTCGCCATTTTGGGAAGGCGGCGACGTCCTTTTCCCACACAACTTTTGATCCTTATCTTTTTTATGTTTTTCTCTCTGGTTTTTGAAGAAAGAGTCCATTGTCGAACCTTGAGTTTTCTTTAGCTTTGTAATCGAATCGTTTTAAGCTTAATCTAGTTTTCCTTTCATGTTCATCGTTTTTTTCTTCATGCTCTGCTTGATTTATCTTATGTGTAGTGAGTAGTTCATTTGGGTTCGAGGTTGAGAGGATTAAGGGGTCAAAAAGGTTTCGATCTTGGGGTTTTTCTAAGTGTTTAATGGCTATCTCTTCTAGGGTGTCGAGTTCTCAAAGCTTAAAGACTCTCACGCCAAGAGCTTTATGATCAGAGAGGTTCCTTACCTTGACAGGATCCAGGGACCTCTGAAGATCACACCCTAGAGACTAGTTACCCCTTCCCAAAAGCCATGGAAGTTTGGGGGACTAGTTAAGCCATTCGTTTGAAATCTGTTTTCCATGCCCTTCAATCTCTCTTTCCACCAAAAGCCATGGGTTTGGAGGAGAGGATGAAGGAGTGATCTATACCGAAAGCCACGGATAGATCTTGCTTAGTTTTCAAGGCTTAGAGATTCTCACAAAGTGAGTCGATTTAAAGTTTTCAACCCAAGGTCGAACCTTTGAAACCCCTGACCATGAATCTCAACCCTAGGCCCTCTCTTTTAGCATCTTTACATCTTCTCTCGTCATTCGCTTGATCTTTGATGGCATCATGGTCGTTAGTTTTACTGTTCTTGCATTTTTAGACGAGATCGATTATTATTGCTCGATCTAGTGGTCGATCCCATGGTCGATCCACTAGTTGAATTTTAGTAATTCATAGCTTTGTCCTTTAATTATTCTGTTTGTTCCTCATGGTATTTTAATCATTCCTGATAATATTAAAATAGTTTGCATTCCATTTAAGTTGCTGCATCTAGTTTTTAGGGATTTTCTCAAATCATATCTTGTCTCGCCTAGATTTGGATAGTCTTTGCATTCTCTTTGTATTTTCTATCATCCTAGGTGTGGATTGACTCTCTCTTGCATAGTGTGCTACAACTTGTTTTTCATTTGAGTTTGATAACCTCATTGCATACTCACCCTTGCAAAGAAAACGCTTATCAAAAGTTAATGCCGTAAATTATACTCTTGGTGGGAGAAGATTGGGTTAAGTGCAGTCTTATGCTTTATGGTCGCTAATACTTATAACTTAAAAAAACAGCTTCATAATAATAAAAATCAGGGGCAAATCAATGAGATTATTAGTTGAGAGCACATAAATTTTTTTTAAATATAAATAATAAATGAGTAACTAATATTGAATCAGGAAAACCTAAATAAGTTTTACACTACTAACTAAAGTTGAAGAATTGTAAAGGAGCACATTTTACTGTATGTGTTGCCTTACATCTATTTTTTGTAAGAATTGGACAGTGACTATAATATAAGACGCAACTAAAACAGAATTTTATATATGAATTTGTATATTTTTTTTAAAAAAATGCATATAATATTCATTTTACTATATTTTTATTTTATCAAAGTATAGCATTAGATAATAACGGATAAAAAAATAACATGCAGTATAGCGCGGATATATATCTAGTTATAATAGTACTGTTCGTTTGGTTCTCGCATGTAGCGTCTAAAATTTTTGTTTGTTTGGTTGCTGCAAGTACCTGCGGCAAAACGCTATGGCTGATGCAGGTCGCTGCATTAAAAAATTTTGGACGCCGAACAAAATCAGCGGTGCGGTTATGACCTGCGGCTGTGTCTACAAACTGCGGTTACGACCTGCGGCTGTGTCTACAAACTGCAGTTACATATTTTAAATTGTTGTTCGTTTGTTTACTGCGGCTGCGGCTATAACCTACGGCTACGAACAATAATTTGTTGTTGTGGCTACGACCTGTGCCAGTGGCTGCAAAACGGACAACAACCTGCGGCAATATTATCGTTGCAGCTGCTGCTGCCGCAGATAAGAAATATTGCTCAACAATACTTAGTAGCAGAAACTTGTATGAAGTTACAGAGTTTGAAATTGGCTATATAGTTGACTTAGCAACTCACCAATGTGCTTGTCGCTGATGGGACCTTACAGGTTTGTGGGGATCACATTGATTATGTTACTTAAACATTGCTTATCAAATTGCTATTTAAGTGTATATTTTTATGACAGGAATACCTTGCAAATATGTTGTCTGTGTGTTAGATGACAACCTAAAAAATCCTTAGAGGTATGTGGCTGATAACTATGAAACTTCTTTCTTGAAGAACACATATATGGACAACATGAGACCTGTCAGTAGTGAACAGTTGTGGAATAAATTAGGAAAGTCTCCTATTGGGATTCCTGACATCCGAAAGTCAAGAGGTAGGCCTAAAAAACGTGACAAGAAAAAAGAGCCTTTTGAGTCACTCCTAAATGCACGAAAATCAACCAGACATGGTAAAGTACAACATTGCAGCCGTTGTAGTGAAACTAGGCATATTAAAAATCCATGCAAAAATGAATTAGTAGTTGTGGACAGACAAAAAAAAAGACGTGGTAGACCACGTACCCAGCCAAATGAAGTAGCTTTTTGCTTCGGTTTTTATCTTTTTTAGTTTCAGTTTTTGGCTTTATAATAATGGTGATTATTTTAAAATAATGTGTATGTGTTTTCATGAATTAGTTTCCACCAAAGTAATATGATTCCCCGTATGAATCGTCACTTTGAAAGCTAGATCAATACTGAATGAATTTGATGAACACTTTGGCTAGTAATGATGATGATGATGATTCAGTTAACAATGAAGAAGTAAGGATGATGATGATGATAATACTGATTAACATGAATGGAAAAGAGTTTATATGGGATATGATGAATCACGAGAGTGAAATGATGATGAAAGATGAATCGAATGGTCACACTAAGGCTGCGGATGGCCGTTAGATTCACCGTGGATCGAATGCTTACACAAAGGATATGAGAAGGCCTTTGATTAACCGTGATCCATGCTTAAAGAGTTTGATTAAAAAGATAATTAAGAAAAGTGCAAGCACAGAAACAACAATATAAAGAGAAGAGTCTTGGTACAGACACTAAAGACCTCTCGAAACAAAGCAAAGAAGTAACGAAGAGGAGCGTCTGAAAAAATATTTGAAAAACAAACTAATGAACTTCACACAAAATAGTTGCTTCTTGGATTTGGCTTTGGGTCAACAAATGGGCCAATGATGAGTACGCTTAGCTCATTAAAACCCTCTCTTTGCAAAACCCATTCCCATTTGTTAACCTCTGCTTGAATCAAAACCAGTGTGGCTTGATACACTGACTTTTGTTCTCCCTAATTCTCCACACGGCTAAGTAAAGGATGTATCTTCTCTTGTAATGCCTTAGCTTTTGAACATGTTACTGGTCTTTGGAGTATGTTCATAGCTTCTTCTTCATGCTCTTCTTCAGCTACAAGTCCCTCCAATGTATCTTGCTTCACCTTGGCTCCAAGTTGCTTTAGCTCAGCCTCAAGCTGTATTACCTCGTCTTCACGCTGCTTTACCTTGGCCTTAAGTTATCTTACTTCGGCTACAAGCTCTAAGTCCTTTGTATGGTCCATGATCATAACATCCCCTCCCACTTGAGAAGGATTTGATCTCAGATCCGCTTCATCTGCAATAAAAGGAACAAGATCAGCAACATTAAAACTAGAACTAACATTATACTTACCTTGCAAGTCCAGCTGATATGCATTGTCACTGATCCGCTTGATGATCTTGAATGTTCCGCCTATTCTTGGCATTAGCTTTGATTTTCTTTCATTGGGGAACCGTTCTTTCCTCAAATGAAGCCAAACTTGATCTCGACTTGAAAAACAACTTGTTTTCTTCCCTTGTTGATGTGCTTAACATACAACTTAGTCTTCTCTTCTATGTTCTTCCGAGCACTTTCATGAATTTGTTGTACTAAATCGGCATTTTTCTTTCCATCAAGACTTGCTCTATCACTCAAGGTAAAGGCATTAGATCTAATGGCAAAATGGGATTAAAACCATAAACAACTTGAAAAGGTGAATATTTAGATGCAGAGTGAACAGAATAGTCATAAGCAAATTCTGTATGAGGTAAACAATCCTCTCAACCTTTTAAGTTCTTCTTAATCAAGGCACGCAGAAAAATTCCTAAAGTTTTATTAACTACTTCAGTCTGACCATCAGCTTGCGGATGACAAGTAGTGAAAAACAAAAGTTTAGTATCTAATTTAGACCAAAGTGTCTTCCAAAAGAAACTAAGAAACTTAGTATCCCTATCAGACACTATAGACAATGTCATGACATGCAAACGAACAACCTCTTTGAAGAATAGATTAGCTACATGTAATGCATCATCAATCTTGTTGCAAGCAATAAAATGAGCCATTTTTGAAAACCTATCAACTACAACAAAGATAGAATCCTTACCTGTCCTAATCCTAGGCAAACTCATAACAAAATTCATTGAAATATCATTTCAAGGATGTGTAGGAATAGGGAGAGGAGTATACAAACCATTCGGCTGTACTTTAGACTTAGCTTGTTTACAAGTAGAGCAACGGCAACAGATACGCTCAACGTCTCTCTTCATGTGAGGCCAATGGAAATGGTCTTTCATGACTTCTAAAGTCTTAGCTATCCCGAAATGCCCCATCAGTCCTCCTCTGTGTGCTTCCCTAACAAATAAATCTTGAAGAGAGCAGCTAGGAATACACAACGGTTCTCATAGAAGAGATAACCGTCTTGTTGATAATAATTCCTGAAGCAAACTTCTCGCAAGCTTTGAAAACATCTTGAAAATCAGGATCAGTAGCATACATTTATTTTATTTGTAAAGCCTAAGAGTTTGGCAGAAATAGTAGAGAGAAGAGTGTACCTCCGAAATAATGCATCGGCTACAACATCATCTTTACCTTTCTTGTATTTGATGACATAGTGAAAAGTTTCAATGAACTCGACCCACCTCGCATGTCTCTTGTTAAGCTTTTGTTGTCCTTTGAGTTGTTTGAGAGACTTATGGTCCGTGTGTATGAAAAATTCTTTTGGCCATAAGTAATGTTGCCAAGTCTGTAATGCTCGGACTAGAGCATATAACTCTTTGTCATATGTGTGGTAATTCAAAGTGGCTCCTCCAAGCTTCTCACTGAAGTATGCGATTGGCCTCTTGTCTTGCATGAGCATAGCTCCAATACCTACACCTGAAGCATCACATTATATTTCAAAAGTTTTAGTAAAATCAGGTAAAGCTAAAACATGAGCATGAATAAGCTTCTCTTTAAGGCATTGAAATGCTTCTTCTTGAGCTTGTTCCCATTTGAATCCCATGCTCTTCTTGATCACTTCGGTTAAAGGTGCGGCTATAGTGCTGAAATCTCGCACAAAGCGTCGGTAAAGGCTAGCTAAACCGTGAAAGCTTTGGACATCTCCAGTGGTCTTAGGACTTTGCCATTCTTTGATCGCCTTAACCTTCTCCTCATCCACTTTAACGCCTTCTGTGCTAACAACAAAGCCTAGAAAAATGATGTTATCCGTACAAAAAGTACATTTCTGAAAGTTAGCATAAAGCTTCTCTTGCCTAAGCACTTCTAGAACCAGCCTAATATCCTTGATATGCTCTTCTAAGTTCTTAGAGTATATGAAAATGTCATCAAAGTATACTACCACAAACTCTCCTATATAAGCCTTAAGAACATGATTCATAAGTCTCATAAAGGTACTAGGAGCATTGGTTAAACCAAATGTCATTACAAGCCACTCATACAGCCCATGCTTTGTTTTAAAGGTTGTTTTCCACTCATCCAATTCTTTCATTCTAATCTGGTGATAACCACTTTTCAAATCAACCTTAGAGAAAATGTTAGAACCATGTAACTCGTCTAACATGTCATCTAGCCTAGGAATGGGATGGCGATAGTTTACAGTGATATTATTGATGGCTCGGCAGTCTACACACATGCGCCAGCTTCCATCTTTCTTTGGTACAAGCAAAACAAGAACAGCACAAGGACTCATACTCTCACGAATATGTCCCTTAGCCATTAGATCATTGACTTGCTGCTGTAACTCCTTTGTTTCCACTGGATTGGTTCTGTAAGCAGGACGGTTTGGTAAAGAAGCTTCGGGAACAAAGTCGATTTGATGTTCTATGCCTCGGATAGGTGGCAAATCCTTTGGAGTTTTTTCTGGAAAAACATTGCAAAAATCTTGCAAAAGATTATTCATTTCACTCGGTAACACCGGTGTGATGTTATTCATGCTTGTTGGTGCTTCTTTATAAACAAATAAGACCATAGATTAATTAGAGAAAAGGAACTTTTTGACATGACTGGCCTTAGCATAGAAGTTTGAATGCTTTGGCTGTTTTGAATCCTTTTTCTGATCAAGATAAACTTCTTGAGGGGTCATGGGGATAATCGTAGTCTTCTTTCCCTTATACTCGAAGGAATAACGATTAGTGAAGCCATCATGCATCACTCTTCTATATGATTTCCATGGCCTTCCGAGGAGTATATAACTGGCCTCCATTGGTAAAACATCACATAATATCTCATCCTCATACCGGCCAATGGTAATAAGGACAAGCACATGATTGCTAGCGTTAAGTTCCCCACTATTGTTAAGCCACTGAAGCTTATAAGGATTCAGATGCTTTGATGTTTTCACACCAAACTTCTTAACCATAGCATTACTCGCAACGTTGGTGCAGCTTCCTCCATCGATGATAAGACTACAAACCTTTCCTTGAACATAACATCGAGTATGGAAGAGATTCTCTCATTATTCTTGCTCCGGGGCCTTTGTTTGAACACTCAAGGTTCTTCTTGCTACACGTAACTCGCCTCTGACTGGAGATGGCATATCTTCTTCGCCTGACTCTTCTTGACGTTCATCCTCAGATTCAAACTCTCCATTATCTAGAAAAATCATGACACGCTTGTTGGTACATTCATTGGCATAGTGACCTCTCCCGTGACATTTGAAACACATAACGTCTCTGGTCCTTGTTAAACCCTCTATAGTTTTTCCTTTGTGATCTTTAGATGGCTTTGCTTCAGTCTTTGGGGCTATAGATGGTTTACTTTCTCTCGGATAGTTACTTTTATCCTCTCTCGAGTAACTAGGCCGATTGTAAGTTGTACCAACTCCTTTACTTGGACGAGAAGAGGCCTTTCTCTTGACTTGTTGCTCAAACAATATTGCCTTGTGTAGCATTTTCTCTAGCTCAACATAATGATGTGTCTCTAGGCGATCTTTTATCTCTCGGTTAAGCCATCCAAGGAACCGTGCCATCGTAGCTTCTCTATCTTCTTCTATGTCGGCTCTAATCATCAAGGTCTTCATCTACAGGTAGTATTCTTCAACGGTGTGGTTGCCTTGTGAAAGCTTTCTTAGTTGGTGATGAAGTTTTCAATGGTAATGACTTGGCATGAACCTTTTTCTCATCAAACTTCTCATCTCGTTCCAAGTTTCCACTAGGTATTCTCTGTTTCTTCTCCTTGTAGTCACAATTTGATCCCACCAGCAGAGGGCATAGTAGTAGAATTCAGTCGCAGCTACCTTGACTCTATTGATTTCAGTACAATGTTGAGCATCAGACACCAGCTCGATCTTCTTTTCCCACTCTAAGTAAGCAGCCGGATCGTTTTCCCCATGGAAGAATGGGATCTTGAGTTTAATTCCTCCAAGAGGATCCTGTATATGATCTATGTCATGCTTTTCCCGTCTACGTCTACGCTGATCACCCTGAGACGAACCGCTCTTGTGTTGATAGTATGACTTAGTTAAATCGCCACTAGAATGCTCGATTGAAACATGATCTCTCCTGGCTTCTCTTCTAGTACGTGAATGGTTAGGCTCTCTTTCAGCACGATTCTGGTTCTGCTCCTGGCAAAATGCTTCGAAGCGTGTATTGAGGAGCTGATCAAGATGTGCGGTCATCGCTTCAAGCAAAAGCTTGTTGTTAGCGCTTGTACTTGTTTCTTCTTCATCTTGGCTCACCATGGTACCTGAAACGTTAAACACAAAACTCGCAGTAAACTAGATCCTTTGATGAACGGATCTTATGAAATAAACATAGAAATGAAACATATGCAATAAGCAACCATCAAACTAACACCCTTGAACAAATTGGATCCGTGCCAAGCAAGAATTCGAAAAGTCAAATTGATAAAATGATCACCAAAAAAATCAAAACTTTCAAAGTGGCTTTGATACCACTTAATATGATTTCCCTTATGAATCGTCACTTTGAAAGCTAGATCCATACTGAATGAATCTGATGAACACTTTGACTAGTAATGATAATGATGTTGATGATGATTCGGTTAACAATGAAGAAATAAGGATGATGATGATGATAATACTGATTAACATAAAAGGAAAAGAGTTTACACGGGATATGATGAATCACAAGAGTGAAATGATGATGAAAGATGAATCAAATGGTCACACTAAGGCTGCGGATGGCCCTTAAATTACCATGGATCAAATGGTCACACAAAGGATATGAGAACGCCTTTGATTTACTGTGATATATGCTTAAAGAGTTTGATTAAAAAGATAGATGAGAAAAGTGCAAGTACAAAAGAAACAATATAAAGAGAAGAGTCTTGGTACAGATACCAAAGACCTCTCGAAACAAAGCAAAGAAGTAAAGAAGAAGAGCATCTGAAAAAGTATTTGAAAAACAATCTCATGAATTTCACACGAGATAGTTACTTCTTGGACTTGGCTTTGGATCAACAAATGGGCCAATGATAAGTACACTTACCTCATTAAAAATCTCTCTTTGCAAAACTCATTGGGACAAAAGCAAAGAAGAGCGAAAAAGAATATAAGTGAAACTCATTCCCATTTGTTAACCTCGACTTGAATCAAAACCAGTGTGGTTTGATATGCTGACTTGTGTTCTCTATGATTCTCCACACGGCTAAGTAAAGAATGTATCTTCTCTTGTAATGCCTTTGCTTTTGAACGTGTTATTGGTCCTTGTAGTATGTTCATAGCTTCTTCTTCATGCTCTTCTTCAGCTACAAGTCCCTCCAATATATCTTGCTTCACCTCAGCTCCAAGTTGCTTTAGCTCGGCCTCAAGCTGTATTACATCGTCTTCACGCTGTTTTACCTTGGCCTTAAGTTGTCTTACTTCGGCTACAAGCTCTAAGTCCTTTGTATGGTCCATGATCATATCACGAAGCGTCAACCAAAGCCAAGAAAATTAAAAGTCAATCCACTTGGTGACTCTTAATCATTACCAACCGATGAATCTACATACATTGAAGCTGGTGGAAATAGTTCTCAGATTTTACAACCAGATCAACTAACTACTGAAATTTCTGCTGCTTCTAGTGCACCTCAACCTTCAGTCTCTTCCAACAAACCATTGCCGAAGAAGCGTGGACGACCATTGAAGACAAGGAATGTGGAAAACATTCCAAGAGGAGTTAGCACATTTTATAGTCCTTACACAGGTAAGGCCTTTGAAGTGTTTGGAGACAGAGTCTATGATAGGTCTAACAATGACCTTCAACCTCCGCTATCGTAGGTCTTTTTGTTTGAAAAGTTATGCTGTTTGTATGCATTTAGCTATGCTTTGTGATGACTTTTGTATGCCTTTTAGTATGATGTTATTCGCGTGTCTTTAAACCGTCAAAATCTTTTGGCATGATATTTATGTTGGTTTTGTTAAACAGAGCCAGATAACTAAGAGACGAAGCTATCATCAAAACATTACAATACATCGTACTTCTATCTGTTAAAATAAGAATCTCTCGTTTCAGCATCTCACATTTTTCACAACTTCACTTGCAAGATTTGTATTGTTACATATTAAATACTTTACGCCCTCACATATATAGAATTTTCGCCCAGGATTTTGTTCAGTCCAAGCTTATGTTATCTTTGTGGGGTAATTGCATTGACACACAACGATTATATTATTTTTCTGTTCAATATACAAAAAAAATCCAGAAGTAATCATCACATGTAATGTGTCTCACCTACTAATTTAACGAAATTTTCAAACTTTAACAAAATTGCTGAAGCTATGTAAAACTCCACAAATCTAATAAAAGTTCATTCTGATTTCTGTAACTAAAAAACAAACCAGAAACTCACTGGGAGTCAAAGAGAGGAAGACTGGTATGAAGAGAAGAACGAACTTCTCAGATTTCTATTGAATGCAATGGGTGTTCAATTTCGAACCCCTCTATTTGAAACTGAAGAGCAACTATCGTTGAATTCTAACTCCAAATCGATTTGAAGGAGTTCTTGCTTTGTTATTTTTTAAAAAAAAATGTTTATGTAAAATGTATATTTTAAATTTTAAAAAAATATATATGCTAAAAGCATATGTGATCGGCAACGGAACATTAACGGAATTGTATGTTCATAATTGTGGAATCGCGAAATCAAAAGCCACATTGAGGGTTTGAAGTGGAAAATTTATTATCTTGGTGGTTTATAATGGAAGTGAAAAACTTTAAAGGTTTAAAGTGAAAGAGAAGGTTTTTTCAGGGATTTTCTTTATAAATTAATATTTTTTACCCAAAAATTCATTAGATATGGCCTAAAATTTTCTAAATTTTTATTTATAGGACCCAAAATTTATATGTATATTAAGAGGCTGAAAAATTCTAAACATCCATATTAAAGGGCTCAAAAATTCTAAACATCCATATTAAAGGGTTTAAAAACAATTTTTGCCCTAGAACTCTTAATATCATTGGGTCGGGTCTGTCAGCACAAGGTCCAAATTTTTATAGCTACTGGCCTGGCTACAGCAAAATGTTGTGAGCTACTATTGTAATAGTTACCTCTAGTTTTTCTACAAAGACATAGCTGAGACTATGCTGATAAAGTGTTCGTATTGAATGCAACACATAAACTACTACTAAAAAAAAATTCTCTTCGAAGTTTTATGCACAAACTGAGATTGTGTCTATAAATTTTTCAAATTTAGGATGCAAAGCCCTTTCATCCTGAGAGGGATTACTAGATATGAAATATTGGTTTAGCCTAATCGGTAAATCGATATTCTCTCTTCATATAGAGTCGATGTAATCAAGAAACAATTAAGATTAATAGAAAACTTTCTTCATTTCAGTCATGTCTCTATTGGTGATAAGTTAGTTGTGAAACCTGAGAATCTATTTGATAGCTGTAGCCGATACGATCTCAATTCACTCTCACGGATCCAGGTATGAATGGCAACTCTCTCTCTCTCTCACTCGTTTGTTTTGTTTGCTCTAACCAATACGCTCAAGACTTATAGAGTTCTCCACAAATGTAGGTACATCTTTATTCAAGAGCGATCCTGGAAATCACTATATCAGTCTCTCGGTTAGAAGATTTTTGAGCTACAACAATGGAGGAATGAAAGAGACTGATCAAAGAAGAAGAAAGAATATTCTCGCGTAACAACCTTCGCTCTCTCCCTTATCATTTATAACAACCTCCTGGTTGGGCAACCAACAGATAACCTTTGCCCAACACGTTTGCCCTTCCTGCGTCTTGGGCCTTAAGCCAAAAGTCCAGACGAAACCTTCAGAAGAGTTTGGACCAACTTCCACAAAACTCCAGCTTGGTCCTAACTTTGTAACCCTTTTGCATGTCGACACCCGATAGCCTTCGTGAACTCCGCTCCTGGAATCCGATGAGTTCCACACCGGAATCGTCTCTTCTCACCACCGGAGAAGCAGCTGCTCAGCTTCAGTTATCCTCACTGTGAAGTTCTCCTGCTGTTACAAGCCAGAACAATAGAACTGAAACGTCACCTCTGCAGCTACTTGAGATGACGCCAGTGATGAAGCTTTAAGCTTCGATCACATTCAGCGACTGCAAGCAACCACCAAACTTATGTTCAGGTAACACCTTTGTCAACATATCTGCATGATTAACTGAAGTATGAATCTTCAAAACTTTCACTTCGCCTAAATTAACCACTTCTCTGATGTAGTTGTACTTAACTTAGATATGCTTTGTTCTCTCATGAATCATATGGTTTTTAGCTAGATAGATTGCACTCTGCGAATTACAATGTAGCTCCACCGCATCTTGTTTAAACCCCATCTCTTCACAAATGCCCAATAACCATATTGCTTCTCTGCTAGCTTCTGACAATGCAATGTACTCTGCCTCTGTTGTATATAGAACCACTACCTTCTGAAGCTGAGATCTCCAGCTTACCATGTTTCCACCAACTGTGAAGACATATCCTAATATTGATCTCCTTCTGGCTAGATCAGCAGCAAAATCGGAATCGCAGTAACCCCTGATCTTGAAGTCGTTCTGCTTTGTGAAAGTTACGCACACTCCTGCTTCTCCTTTTCTGTATCTCATAATCCACTGAACAGCTAACCAGTGCTCTCTTATAGGTTTACTCATGTACCTGCTCACTAATCACACAGCGTATGCGAGATCCGGCCTTGATCCTACCATCGCGTACATCAAGCTTCCCACTACGCTTGCATAAGGTATGTTTTCCATTTCCTTCTCCTGTGAAAGCCGCTGTTCTGCTGTTGCTGCTTGAAGTTTGAAATGAGAAGCCATAGGTATAGCAACTTCTTTGCAATCCCACATATCAAATGTCTTGAGTAGCTTCTTTAAATACTCTTCTTGTGATAGGATTAGGATTCCCTTCTCATGATCTCTGAAAATGTCCATGCCTAGAATTCTCCTTGCTGCACCCAAATCTTTCATCTCAAATTCTGTGTTTAGAAGTTTGTTCAACTTATCAACCGCTGTCTTGCTCTTCGAGGCCATTAACATGTCGTCAACGTATAGCAGTAGGTAGACCATATCCTCAACAGTAGACCCTTTCTGATATACACACGGATCAAACTTGCTCCTTCTGTATCTTTGTTGTATCATGAACTCGTCAAATCTGTGAGTCCATTCTCTCAGAGACTGCGTTAAACCGCATAGGGATTTCTTTAGCAAACATACTTTGTCCTCATGTTCTTTCTTTGCAAACCCTTCTGGTTGACTCATGTAGATAGTCTCATGTAGGACCCCATGTAGAAATGCCGTCTTGACATCTAGTTGTTCTAATTCTATGTCGTGATTTACCACCATTGAAAGTAGTAATCAAATTGACACATGTTTCACCACTGGTGCAAACACTTCATTGTAATCAATCCCTTCGATTTGAGCAAATCCTTTTGCTACTAACCTCGCCTTGTATCTAGGTTGTTCAACTCCTGGAATTCCAGGTTTTAATTTGAATATCCATTTGCTGCAAATGACCTTATTATTTATTGGTTTATCAGCCAATACCCAAGTTAAGTTCTTCTTTAACGAATCCAATTCTTTATTTTCAGCTTGGTTCCACGTGTCTCTGGCTTTACTCCTCTGAGCCTCGTCGTAAGAATTTGACTCATCAAACTCGATAGACTATGCACAAGCAAGAGCGTATACGACAAAGTTGCCCTCTCTGAACCTTGCGGGCTTCTTAAGCTTTCTTTCGTACCAGTTTAGAACAACAGGTGGCCCTTCCTTATAATCTTCATGAGTCTCTTGGTCACTCTGCCCTTCATAATATGTGTACTCATCTTGCTCATTATCTGAAGAGCTAACTGTTTTATCTTGTACTGACGCAGGTTCTGAAGTAGCTCCACCACGACTCGAAGACTCCTCTAGTGTATCCGACACAAGCTCCACCTTTACCAAGTCATCTTTGAAGGTAACTTTCTAATTAATTTTGCTTACTTCAACCCTTCCGGTTTCTGAAATTTTTGCATTTCCGTCCTTGAATAGAAGGTCCTCATTAAACACAACGTCTTTGCTGATTGTGATTTTCTGTTCTTCTATTAGCCAAACCCTGAAACCCTTAGTCCCTAGGGCATATCCCACAAACACGCCTTTTGCAGCCCTAGGGCTTATTTTGTCAGCCACTGTATGAACATAGGCTATACAACCAAACATCCTTAAGTGTTCATACTTAGGTTCATCTTCCAGCCATAGAGCTTCAGGAACCTCAAAGTTGATAGACGATGATGGAGACTTGTTTATTATGTAAACTGTTGTAGAAGCTGCTTCTGCCCAGAACTCTCCTCCTAGGCCAGTCTCATATAGCATGCTACAAACCTTATCGTTATATTCATCTTTTCTGATACACCATTCTGTTGAGGTGTGTAGGGACACGTCTTGTGTCTTTTTACCCCTGAATCTCTGCATGCTTTGTCAAACTGATTGTTACAGAACTCTAACCCGTTGTCTGTTCTCAAACATTTTAGGTTCTTCCCAGTTTGGTTTTTCGTAAGGACCTTCCAATCAACAAACTTTTGAAATGCCTCATCATTAGTCCTTAGAAAGTTTTCATGCCCTTTTGGAGTAATCATCGATAAAGGTAAGGAAGTACTTGCTCCCTGGAAAACTTGGCGTTACATTTGGTGATCCCCATAAGTCATAGTGCACATACTCCAATATATCTTTAGTCGTATGCTTTGCCTTTTGAAAACTCTGCTTATGAGATTTTCCCATGGTGCAGGATTCGCAGAACCCCAGCTGCTTCACATCATCACCCATAAGATATCATTTCCTCACCAAAACATCCATGGAGGACTGACTCATGTTTGCCAGACTTGAGAGCCAGCGCTTCGTCATATCCACAGGTACTCTCGTAACATTAACCTGAGGTACTCGAACTGTTCCATGTAGATAATACAAACCCTGATCATACTTTCCTGACAAAACTTTTC